AACATACAATGGAATATTATTCAGGCTTAAAAAGGAAGAAAATTCTGACACATGCTACATCATGGATGAAACTTGAAGATACTATGCTAAGTGAAAGAAGCCAGTCACAAAAGGGTAAATATTGTATGATTCCACTTATATGAGATTCCTAGAGTAGTCAAACTTACAGAGAGAAAAAGTAGAATGGTAGCTTCTAGAAACTGGAGAGATGAGGGGATGAGGAGTTAGTGTTTAAGGAGTACAGAGTTTCAGTTTGGGGAAGATGAGAAAGTTCTGGAGATGAATGGTGGTGATGGTTGCACCACAACAATGTGAATGTACTTAAAAATGCTTACAATGGTAAATTTTATATTACATGTATTTAACCACAAAAGAAGTTTAGAAACAGAGAGCACTGTAAAGAGGGCCCAAGAAGTCTCAGAAATCTCCTTGGAACAAGTGGCACAAGAATTGCACCTTACAAGATAGGAAGATCTGGGAAAATGGCATGTTCCAAGTGAGGAGAACATGTGAGTGAGGGTCCAGGTGAGAAAAGGAGCAAGATGGCAGAAGGCAGGGCTGGTCAGAGGTGAGGCTCTCTGCTGGGGAGTTTGGGAACCACAGTGCAGGTGCCTGCCTCCAGCCACTGCCTCTTTCCTACTCATGAAGTCTCACTTACAGCCACTCTTACCAACACCCACCCTCAAGTCATCCTGAGCTAACTTCCGAATTCATACCATTTCTCAAATTGGTGTCCTTTCATTTCTCTTCACACATTTCCTTCTCCATGGAAATCCCTTTTGTTTGATGAATTCCACTCCTTCAAGACAGGGTTTCAAGGTCACCTTCTCTGCAAAGCCTTCCCTCACTCCAGAACTTCTTCCTACACTAGATATCTCTCTCTTCAAAAAAAATCAGTGCTCATCAAAAGTGGGGCTTGTATCTTTTTCTTATATCTAGGTCCTATCACCACACCTGATGCATTGTTGATGCTCAATAAATGGATGTGGAATAGATGAATCTAGAGAAACTCAAGTAGTAGAGTTGAGACTTGGTATATTGGATGCTGGGTAAGACAGGGAAGATGATATGAGTTGGGGTTGAGGAAAGATAAGTCTAAAAACAAGTACACAGGATGGATTGGAAGAGCTAAGAGACTGAGTTCCAGGAAGCAACCCAGGAGGACCATGTTGGAGTCCAGGCAGGAAGTTATAGGGACCTATATTAAGCAATTATGATGAGAATAGAAATATTGAGGGGGAAATCTCCTTCATTTAGTAATTGACTGAATGTGAAAAGTCAAGAGCATAGATAAATTTTTTTCAATGGGTGAAAGTTTTTACTGTGGATGGCTTAAATTATATGATTTCATTGACTAAGACCTAGAGAATAGCAAGATGAAGACTTTTAATGGACAGAGTTCTGCTTTCAGGTGAAACTGAGCCTCTGTGCTTATCTGAAGGAGAAAGCATGACAAGAGAACAGATGTTAGAAGTCCTGACTGAATAAACTGACTCACACATCACTTTCTAGGCTGCTACCTTCTCAATCTATCACATGCCCCCTTCCCTTGTTTTCTCATCTTTAAAGGGCCCTGTCTTCACAAAACCAAGAGGCTATTTTTCAAATTTACTTCATTACCAGGCCAGAACTTTAAAAAAAAGTAAGCTCAATTATGTCTAACATTCAGCTGGAGATGAATAGAATGAAATTTCCACTTACTGAACTTAACATCTCTCTTTGAGGAAAAGAGTAACCTGGTATAAACATCAGAGGGATGTCTTTTAAGGTCCCTGTGTGACTTTAAACAAGGGGAGACATGTCCCTTACTCACCCTCTTCCCACTGCAGAGTGCCTTGGGCCAAGACTAACTTTGGCCTCTTGCCTGCCAAAATGGACTAACCAGAAAAAGGCCAAAGCTTAGTGGATTCACGTGTGCTAACAGAAGTACTCCAAGTTGCTCTCTAGTTTCCTCTTAAGGGGTGCTGATTATTACACCACTATCACACTGCAACTTTGCAACAAGAAATCATGACTTCAGGTTGTGGGGAGCTCATATCCTAAGTATACATTGGTAGTGACTCCAGTGACATTAGGGAATCATGATAAGGCAGAAGGATGCTCATATCTCTGCCTCCAGGAGATGCCTGGTTATCATCTTCCTAAAGACAAAGGGGGAAACTGAGTCCTCTGAAAGCAGGCTTTCCTATTCAGGCATAGACTGACTCACTGAGACAGTACTACTACAGTGCTAGGGAGCACCCTCAGAACACCAAGAGGCTACACATAGCCAAAAGTCTATGAAAAATAAGCAGAATTATGTAACAATTAAATCGGTGCTATGTCAATGCTGGACTTTCTTAGGGAAAAATTATTTCTCAGACAATCAACAAACAATTTTAGGTGGGTGGAATACCTGCCAACTGATAATGGAGATTTTCACAAAACTCAAGTCATAAAACTCCAGGAAATGAAATAAAAATCTAAGTAAATCACTATCAGTTTATTTATGTTATTCATACCATTCTAATTGTAAAACTCCATCTCAGGATGCTAATCCCAGCAGGGTTACAAAGGTTCCATCCCACTGCTCCTCACTGTTTCCAAAGGCACACGCACTCGCATATGCCTTCTCTCTGCACACAGAATGCATCTCGGCTTGTATCCCAAGAAGGCAACAAACAGTCCCTGCACTACCAGCTCCACTAAACATCAGACTTTTAGGATTTTAAGCAAGCCTAGGAGAGCACTCATCTGATAGGACCCCCCGAGAAAATACAAACAAGAGTCCTAGAGTAAATGCTGAAAAGGACCTTTAATGAAAAGGACTCTTTAAATGCCAGTCCTAGGACCTGTGACCCTACAATATGACTTTTTACCAGTTCATGGAAAAATGAGAATGATAAGGACAATGGATGAGTTTTCCAAAAAATAAATTTGTTGAATTTGAAGAACTGGGTTTTTTTCTGATAATATACACTCCCTATATTTGCACATTTGAATGTCATTTTATTTATAAAATGAAGGTAATACCTCATACTGGACTTTTTAGCATCGTTACTAAATATGGTTTGTCAATTCCCAAACATTGTTTTTGAAATATATGTTAGTTGATGATATTAAGCAGTTTGGGATGCTAGCTCAGTCCAGCTCTCTGTTTTGCTTTAATTTTTTGGGCCATGGGCACAGAGAGTTAAGTTAACAACACTCCTCAGGTCATGGTGCACTACTCTCATCAGTCCATCAATACAATAATACAGTCTCTCCTGTATTGTCTTTCCCCCCATCCCTGCTCCACATTCCTATTCCATTCCTCCAAGCAAATGTCCACCTCGTAGCGAAGAGTGAAAAAGATAAGCAACAGTCTATGAATATTAAAAGCATATTTACACACAGCAGCATCATAGATTTCCTAAGTATCCATACAAACCCAAGGGCATATATCAGTTCTCTCATTTTACAAATGAAGCAATAGAGAACCAGAGAAATGAAGTGACTTGCCCATGGTCACAAGAATGTATGAGTCAGAGTTAAGCTAAAACCCATGCCATCTTGTACTTTCTCGGTTTTTCAATAAGGTCTTGGCCATTTCCCTAAGTGAAAACACACATGTACACACTGTCAGAAATTCTGAAAGAAATGAAATTAATCACACACATCCATAAAAATATTCATTAGCTCTCAAAATAAAAATTCTCTGTGAGTCCAGCTATTTCAATAAGGTTATACTGATCACTTGAAAGGTCTTGTGGAATTGATCCATCTAGGATATCATGAGTTGGAAGACAATTTATTAGGCATATTTTTTTAAACTACTCATTTTTTTTAAAAGATTGGCACCTGAGCTAACATCTGTTGCCAATCTTTTTTTTTCTTCTTCTTCTTCTCCCCAAAGCCTCCTAGTACATAGTCGTATAGTCTAGTTGTAGGTCCTTCTGGCTATGCTATGTGGGAAGCCATGCCCAGGATCCAAACCAGCGAAACCCTGGGCAACCAAAGTGGAGCATGTGAGCTTAACCTCTTGGCCATGGGGCCAGCCCCTAGGCATATATATATACATATTTTTTTTTAAACCTATGTGATACACATAAATTCCCTTAAGGATCTTGGAGGTGTTTCTGTAAAAGAGTGAAAAGCATATTAATCACAACAATCTAGAAACTTGTCTAGGATGGCTCTGAGCTCTCTCACCCCTTCCAAGCCTTGGGTCCTATCTTCCCTGGCATCTCTTTTCCATCCCACCACCACCTTCAGTCTGTTTTTGCCTTCAAGGTTGGCATCAGAAAATGTCTCCTTCAGATACATGGCCATCTATCAGACTCCTGCAGAAGCCACAGGCTGGAACATTGCACAAATCTTTTTTCACACCCTTATTAGAATTTGTAAAGTGACTGATTGTAATATATGCCCCCAAAATATTTAATTTGTTACTTCCAAGTATAAATCATAAGGTAATTTCATCTAATTGTTTTTAAAATACTGTAAAGTAGCACCCTATTGTTAGATGACTTTTATTGCCAAGAAATGGTGCCTTCACTGATGGGCCCCCTGCCCCAGACATTCTGACAAAAGAGATAGCTTCCTTGAAGACTTGTTTATTTATAATGAACAGTGGGGAAAATTTCCCACTCTTGGCTTGGAAATTTCAGATCTAAACTGAAGCCCCTCCAAAAGCCAGTAACCAGTTCTATTACCTAACAGAGCCCAGCAATGTGTCACTGTAAGTCTATACGGCCATGGGCAACCTTGAACATTCACACTATCTGAAGAGCTTTGGTCCTCTTTGGTTGAGAAAAGCCCCAAGAATTAGATTCTCCAATCACCAACCTGAGACTGACACTGTACAGTTTATTTCAGCAAAAGTGATGATGTTTGCACAGCAAGGATGGCTTTCAATACTGGATAAAATAAGACTTCTTTGCTTTAACCATTTGCATCCAGCACTAATTATAGCTATTCTACTTCTTTCTACAAACCACTTTCTGATTTCAGCAAGACTATCCATCTATTAAAATACTTACTGGTTAGATATCTTCTTCTTGGGATTTTCTTAGATCTCACTCAAATATGCTTTAGTCCCTTACACATTGTTTCCACTGTATTTGTATAAGATAAATCTTCAGATATGGTACTCTATGTTTTAAAAGACAGAATAGTGTTAAAGTGAACATTTTTCACAACTTTCTCATAGAATTTGATTAGTTTGCTATAGCCACATAATCGCTAATCTGGTCTTTACACCAATTAGATAAGAATGTCTTTGTGGCTGCCTGCTTTGGCTATTTATTGAAAGGAAGGTAGGAAAGAAGGAAGGAAGGAAGGAAAGAAGAAGGGAAGGATAGAAGGAGGGACGGATGGAGAAACTTGCTTGAATAAAGTTATTTCCCAGAACAAAAATGCATCAGAAAAAAGAAAAGTTGAACCCAAATAATAGAAAAAATTAACTCTGTTGAGTTATAAGTTATTCATTCTATGGGTGGAACTAAATATATCAATCAAAATTAATTAGCAGTTTCTTTCCCTCTAGTTTATCATATAGTACCTGTATATAATATATACGTGTGTGTGTGTGTATGTATGCATGCATGATCACACATTCCAGTATGCTAGTTATAATAGAGGAAAAATCCAAAGTTAGGTATTGGCGTCATCCTTCATATTTCATACATACTGAGATCTGTTAGTCTGTGACCTTGAGTAAGTTACTTGTGACCTTAACAATAACTTGATGTTTCTGAGCATCAGTTTCCTCATCTGCTAAAGAGGGATTGTAATTATTCCTAGTTCAAAGGATTGTTGTGGGGATTATATGAGAAATACTTATAAATTATCTGTCCCAGTACTGGCTCATAGTAAAGACTGTAAGTGCTAGCCATCATCATCACCACTAGTATTAGTATTATCTTCCCATTGTTATAATCAATTTCATATTACAGTTGGAACCTGGACTGCCAAAGGCAGTCGTCTGTTTAAGGAAAATCCTCCATGGAAATTCTTCTCCATAGCTTCCTGCTGTCTGCTGCCTTCTCTTGAGGTAGGTAAATTCTCCAAGTATATGTTTTGGTCCCAGGTTCCAAGAGAAGTGCTGAATACTTTGGAAAATGTCTGTAGACATTACACAGTGATTTATATAGCGTTCTCTGAGAATACCACCAGGGAAGCTACTGAATTTAGAAAGTCAACAAGTCTCTCCAGTTTTCAATAAACAAATCTCTGCTTAGTGTGGTTCATGTACAACTCACCATACTAGGTTCAATAGCCTACACCAAAAAATATAAGTTATGTACTATGCTCTCAAAGACTTTAGAAACTACCTGGACTAGTTAAGAACATAAAATATATACTTAACTAATAATAGGTAGCAATGTGTGATAAACATATACCACACTGTGGGCTTGATTAGTCAGGGAGAGCTTTCCAAAGTAGATGTAACTCGATTAACTTTGATAGAGGCTGGAAAAGGTGCTGGCAGGAGCTTCACAATTATTTAATCCTCATTATCTCATTTAATCCTCACAGCAACACTGAGAGGGTGACATGATTATCCACATTTTACACATGAAGAAATTGAGGAGCAGAGATGGAAAGTATCTGCCTACAGAGACAGTAACGAGAATCAGAGTTGTGATTCAAGGCGAGGGTTTTCACCCAGGCCTACATCTTGGTAGTCAACAACTTGAGTAAATTATACCCATGTCTAATAATGAAAATTAGAGTTTCCACATGGGCTATGTTTCCTTCTTAAAATTTGTTCTTGTCTTTTGAAAAGTTAGATAAGCATTCACCCTACCGTCACTAAAAGTATTGAAAGAATAAATTGGGTAAATGTTATAAGAGACCATAGAGAAAGATTGATTTCCTTATGCAGAAAATTCTAGATAATTGGGAAATGATTAGTTATATCCTCTCTCTGGAATCAGCCTATCTCTACCTCCTGGGGTGCCTGGGGTAGGTGGAATACCTCCAATTGAACCGTCTGCCACCCTTTCCAAGCTTTTCATCTTCCCCAAGCCCAATTTAACATCAGTAAACTTGCCAGTGAAGGAAACCAGAGACCCAACATCCATCTGGCCTTGCAGGCAGGATGTATGGCCCCTACCTGTGTGCCTTGTCTTACATTTTCTCTTTGGGTAGGAGCCCAGAGCTGTGCACACAAATTGCTGATCTTTCTTCCTATCCAATTTCCCATTATTCTGAACAGGCTTAAACTAGCATGCTCATGGGACAATAAACAGAGGTACCTGGTGATCCAGCAAAGTGTACAGCATCATGATTCCTGACTTGACCTCTGCATCCACAGCTTTCCCAACATTCACTAACCATGTGGGTCAAAAACTACATTGCCAACCAAACAAAGCTGCAGCAGCAGCAGCTCTCTTTCTCTTCCAGGCTGCTGCCAGACTTAAGAATCCGGTGAGCAGAAGAATGGAACGGAAGCGAATGAAACAGAATGGAATGGAACAGAACAGAACAGCACAGGATAGAACAGAATAGGATAGAATAATTCTATCCTTCCACGGGATATAAGCCTCTTTGATTAAGTAGAAATAAAATCTATTAAAACACTGCTTCATAATCTTACCACATAGTCTCATTTTCTTCTTGTCATTCATGTTACAAACAGTATAAATACCTTTAGCCTAAAATGACGTGTGACTTGAGAGTACGTAAAATGCCACACAATTCTCCCTAAGAAAAGATAAATGATTGTGAAAATAGACAGGCGTGGATACAGAGGAAATGCAATTTTCATCCTTTTAAAAAAAAGAGAAAGAGAGAGAGAGAAACAAAGAAACATTGCCAGAGTCCTCAGTGACCCCCACATATCAAATTATACAGGATGGGGTAATATGATTGCCCATTCTCCAATCAGCCACAGATGTACTGCCGCATTCTGCCTGAGCAGCAAGTGACAGGACAGCCCTGCTGGAAGTCCCACAGAAGGAGAATTACAATCATCAAGCCGGGGCTCTGTCGGGGTGTGTGCTACTGCAGCAAAATGAAATACAGAAACACACCCTGTCTAAGGCTGAAAAGCACACAAGCAATTGTCTTTGCCTTCCAAACATGGTGCGTTGAAAGAAGGGGTCCAGTTTTGAAAAATTGAGATCGAGTGGGGCAACATGACCTGGTTTGATTTTTTTGTGTGTGCCATTAAATCTTTGCTCTCTCTTTCTTCTGGCGGTCTTTTCCCTTCTTTATGCTTTCCCCTCAATCTTGAGATTTCAATCATCAGATTGAAAGTCAAGGATTTAGAAATTATTTCCTCCAAAGAACACTTGACATAAAACGTGTGGTAAACAGGTTTTATATACCTCAATAAATATATTTCCATCATCAAAAACTGTCTTGTAACTTCTGAATATGATAAACTAGAATCTTAGCTTTTGAAAAATTATAGATTCGACCACTAGGTAATCTAGTCGGTTCAGTCAAATAATTGTCACATGTCTGAAAATGTCAGTCAAAACTTGTTTTTACACTATGTAGATTAGTGATTTTCACACTGTCTTCTCAGAGCCGCAGGCTCCACACAGGTGGACAGAAGGATGAGCAGAGAACAGCTCCCATGCTCAGCCCTGGCGATTCTGCTTGCACAATCTGCTCCCTCCCCACCCGAACATTTCTGTCACCACCCCACACAAACCACTGCCCTTTCACAGCGCAGGAGCCTCTCTATGGCTCTCCTTGCTTCCTCTCTTGCCCGCTTGCATCTGTTCTTCACACAGCAGTCCCAGCATTCTTTTTAAAACACAAACTAGTTCATATTTCTCCCCTGCCTAAGCCCTTTTAATGGCTTCACATTTCATTTTAAAGAAAATCCAAGCTATTTCCCTCACCTTAAAAGACTGCATAACCTGGCGCTCACCTACCCATCCTCCCAGTTTGTGCCCCTCTCTCTTACTCACAAAAGCTCCAGCTGTGGAAGAAATAATAGTTTTCTTTCTGTGCCTTGAAAATAACAAGCTCCTTCACACCTCAAGAAGTGCAAACCTCGAAGCCTAAAGTCTTTGCACATGCTGTTTCCTCTGCATGCCATGTTCTCCTCCCATCTTTGCATGGCTGACCCCTTTTTATCTTAAGTTTGAACCTCCATGTCCCCTCCTCAAAGAGGCTGTCCCTGAACACTCTAAGTAGTTTTCTCCCCAGCATTGTTCTCTACCATTGTATCCTGTTCATTCCTTTCAAAGCAGCCATCATGATGTGCAATAATCAAGTTATTTATTCAATTTACTAATTTACTGAATATACCCCAAGTAGATTGAATTCTGTGAGCAATGGACAGCAATGCCCATTCACAGGTTCCTTGTCGGCTCTGCCCATGCCTTACATCACCATCAGCTCCAAGCAAAATGATAATGCAATTAATGCTTGATAGCTAAATGAATGAGGGAAGGAAGAAATGAAGGAAGAAATGAACAAACTGGCCCATTTGTAACAAACGCTAAAAAGGAGAACATATATAACGGTAGGCCTAACCCTTGCAGTCATATCATCATGGCCTGATATTTAAATTGAAGTGAATTCTGCATAATCTGAACTGCTTCCTCACATGCACTTTCCTCCCAAATCCTAGGGGAAGAGGACAAGGAAAGGACTTGGGAGTAAGTTTGGGATCTTGTTTTCCCCACTCCAACTGACTTTGCCTCTTTCTGTCTTTTTTTTTTTTTTGAGGAAGACTAGCTCTGAGCTAACATCTGCTGCCAATCCTCCTCTTTTTGCTGAGGAAGACTGGCCCTGAGCTAACATCTGTGCCCATATTCCTCTGTTTTATATATGGTATGCCTGCCACAGCATGGCTTGACAAGCGGTGCATATGTCATCACTCAGGATCCAAACCAGTGAACCCCGGGCTGCCGAAGAGGAACATGCAAACTTAACTACTGAGCCACTGGGCTGGCCCCCTTGCCTCTTTCTTGATGGGGGTAAAGTAAGGCAAGCATCTGGACACTCCAGAGCCTCCTGTTACATCAGCTTCCAGCACACTCGATATATGCAGCAATCTTTCCTTATTGGCCCTGTGTCCTCCTTGTGTGTGGCTCAGGCAGCAAATTCCAAGCTTCCTGCCCAATTCTGTGAGGTCTTCTGGAGCACATATGACATCTGGCAGGATCCTGAAATGACACGTCTGGGTCCTGCAAAGATGTCTCCATATATTACCTTCCCGCTCTACAGGGAGAAAAATTATTTTTGGTTGAAATCACTTTTTCATTTATCCCAGGTCAAAGAAAGTTCATTCTCCCCCTCGCTCAATTTTCCTGTGAGTCAAGTTTTTTAATTTTGTCTCATTTTAAAATAAACTATTTTTAGGGGCCGGCCCGGTGGCGCAGCAGTTAAGTTCACATGTTCTGCTTCTCGGTGGCATTGGGTTCCCCGGTTCGGATCGGGTGCGGACATGGTACCACTTGGCAAAGCCATGCTGTAGTAGGCATCCCACATAGAAAGTAAAGGAAGAGGGGCACAGATGTTAGCTCAGGGCCAGCCTTCCTCAGCAAAAAGAGGAGGATTGGCAGTAGTTAGCTCAGGCTAATCTTCCTCAAAATAAATAAATAAATAATAAAATAAAATAAGCTATTTTTAAATGTACTATTTTATATAGATATGTAGCTAAAAGTAAAGGCAGGAGATTGAATATAATTTACAAGAATAAATATATATTAAAATTAAGCTTTATTTTAAATTTAATTCATATGCAATGTTAATGGTTTCTACACAACCATCTATACACAATTTATCAATACACTTACCATTTTTTCAGTTTCAAAAAGATTGTTATTTCAAATCTGCCTTTATACTGGGGAGAAGCTGACCTACCTGAAGGGTTTAACTCTGTGCCAAAAAGAGAGAGGAAATTGATTTATAGTAAAAATTCTGGAAACAAGTGATGTAACAACTTTCATGAATGATGTTCATTTAAAACTGAACACCCATACCCACAGTTTATGGACAAAATTACAAAGCATTCTGTCACCTCTATATGCTAACCAAATTATAAAGCAGTGCTCACATCATTTGGAAGAAATCTATGTTTTTCTATTTCTGTTTCAATAGTTTGTTCAAATGTTAGGAAAATGGGACCTCAAAAAAATCTTAAAGTGTAAAAAAGAATAATGATTGCAGGTCTTTTAAATATTGAAGTTAAAATCAAGCCAAATGGCTTTTCTTGAAAAATAATTTGTGGGGTATATAATTTCAGCTCCCAAAATATTTTGGAAAGGAATCATTTCTCCAAGGATCTGATGTTTGCATAGAAAACTGCCCAGTGAGCCTTCCCAGCTCTGTTATCAGTATTTCTCAATCCTTCCTCTTTATTTATTTACCAATCTATACTTGTTTTCCTCCTTTTACTTTAATTTCTCTCTTTTTCCTCTTTTTCATTGCTTTCTGGAAAAATAAAACAAACTTAAGGGCAGAGGAAGGATTGCTCCGTACAGAGTTTTGCCTAGTTCATGTGATGAGTAGTAAGCACCAAAACATTTCCTATCAGAGCCGGTCACTTGTAAAGTTGGGGCCTGAGCACGCTGTGTCTTCCGCAGACCTTCGTCTCCCTTTCCAGTGTCCTTTACACAGCCTGCCTTTCTCCCCTCAAGGGACATCCACTCTGCCACCCTAAGCTTAATCATGACTCACTACTTCAATGCTTACCCTCTCCAAGCAGTGTCTGACTGTTGCCTGCTCTCGTCTCCTTGTTATCACAATTTACCTCCTTTGCGGCTTCTTCTTCCAGAGACTGCCTTTCCAGAGGCATTGAAACTAAGTGGAAAGGACACGAGCTTTGGAGTTTGACACCTCTAGGTTTGAATCCTAACTGTGTCGCAAATAGCAGTGTGACTTTGGGCAAGTTACCTAACCTCTCTGAGACCTAGTCTCCCTGGATGTAAAATGGGAATAATGATTTCTTCTGCATTTGTTGATAGGATGTTTAAGTATAATAAATGTGAGAGAGTTTTTACAGAGGCTGGCAGATAGTAAATAATAAAAGAAATGGGAGCTATAATTAATATTTTTATCTAACTTTCAGTTTGGAAAGTGTCTAATCAACAAATAAATGGAAACATATAAAGAATTGATATCAGCTTGACACTAAAGCGATCTGAGAGCATTTTTGGCCCAGAGTCATTATGGTTCAATTAAGAAATACCACACAGACGTTCATCCACCATTTTCATCCTAAGATCAGGTTTGATGCACTCCCATAAACATCATGAAAAGGTGCGTTATACCCATAAGTTTCCAGAAAAACAGTGGTTGTAAATTAGAGTGACAATATTGAGATGAACAAACATTTAGAAAGAAGGCACAAAAAAGGCAGAAGCGATCTATGAACCAAGAAATTTAATAATTTATTCAACAAAATTCCCTTCAAGTCAGCAAACCTTTATAAAGTACCTATTACTTGCCAGACACTGGGAACAGAGAGATAATTAAAACATGCTCCCTGCCATTGAGGAATGTGCACACCAGTGCGGGTCATATATCCAAATTATTTCAAAAATAATAAGACAAATAACATGATGGCAGTAGGCAAGGGGTCTTATGGGAGCATAGAAAAGGGACCCTTCACCTAACCTGTGGTCAAGGAAGGGCTTTCTAGATGACACCCGAACTGTCTTTAAAAATGAATCCAAATTAGCTATGCAAAGAAAGATGAAAAGGCAACCACTGCAGGCAGAATGAACTGCTGGAAGAGAAGCATGAAATATTAGAGTGTGTGCAGAGAAGCATCCAGGAGTTGTGTTATTAGAACATCAAATGTGTGGGGAGATTGGCAGCAAATGAGGTCTGAGCAGAGCATAGACACAGAGCACTTTGTCTACTATGCTAAGCCGCGTGCCCTTTGTTCTCCTTGGGATGGAGGCACATTGAAGAGACCCGTCATGGATGGATTTGATCTTGAGGGCTCACTCTGGCTGCAATGTGAAGATAGCTTGGTTATGTGGTTAGAGGGAAAGTGCACAAGCATGGAAGCAGGAATCCAGATTAAGCAAAAATCCAAGAGAGAGAACGAGGGCTGGAGCTGGGAGATGCTATGAGAGGACAGACTCAAGAAATACTTAGAAAGTAAAATTGACAGGTTATACATAAAACCGTGAAGAAGTAATAAATAAATAAGTATCAAAATGTCAGCCTCCGACTAATGGTTTCCAAATACTGGAAGTAGTCACAAGGGCATAGAGTACCTACATTAACTGCAACTCCTGATTTGCCATCTACAAATTGATATCTTTACTCACTAAACCAGGCCCATCTGTTTAATAAAACGTTTAAATTACTATTGTCAGTTTTTAAGAAGCACACGGAGCTTTGGAGCTAGACACTTAGCTGGCTTCCAAAGAGATGCTTCCTCAAAGTTCTTTTTGCATTAGGTCCTATTTCTTTGCCACCAATTTTTAAATTAATTAACACAGATATAAGACTATGTCCACACACTCAAACTATTTGACAACCTTGAATAAAATGGCAAATGTTCTTGATCAAATAATCAGTCTTAACAGCGTTGTAAAAACTAAATCAACTCATCAATTCAATCGAGATGGTTGAATTAGTTGTCCTGTTGACACAGTTTCTTGTTAAAAAAATAATAATAATCTGCCATTGCACAAGAGCCAAATGTTCTTATGCATTGAAGTTTGATGCATCAAAAGACAAAATTTTAAAACTAGAGTGCCTAACCAAGTAGCTTTAAGCATTAGTGAGTGATGGGAAAATTTATAATTGATTAAAAGACCTATCAAAAATTGGTTAATAGCCTTCCCTCAATGATAGCCACACTATTGAATGGAGATGTTCTGATGCATTCAACATTTTAAAATATTGGTGTGTTAAATGCCAATCAATAGGAGAATGAATGAAATAGGTACCAGGTTTCTTTTGAAGGTGATAAAAATATTCTAAAGTTAGGTTGTGGTGGAGTTTACATAACTCTGTAGATATACTAGAACTTATTGGTTTGTATACTTAAAACAGGTGCACTTTATGGTATGTAAATTATATCTCAATAAAGCTATTTTTAAAAAGCCAAAAGAAGAAGCAGCATTTGAAATCACATGCTTCTCTCTGTCTGAAGAAGGGAGGGATTTCTAAATGAAGAACAACCATGGTCTCAGGTGTGAAGATCACTTGAAAGAGCAGTCATCAGGATACTGAAGGAGCACAAATGACATCAACACAACAGCAAAACACGTTGGGCAATTTGAAAAAGATAATATGCTCAGCCTCAGGAGTTTGAAATATTCTTGGAGACACAGCAGGGGTCACATGAAGCCATAGTAAGAGCACAAGGGAAGTCCAAATGTTCATGAGAGGTGCCAGCAAAGAACTTCCAGCAGGGAAAGGACCACGGGGGCGCACTTTGGGGAAACAATGCAGCATCTGGGACTTGTGCTGTGACTAGAATGAAGACTAGGCTGAATCTGAGTAGGCAAAATGAAGCAGGGCAGAGACAGCATGAACCAAGGCCAAGAGGTAGAGGGATCACGGAAAGGGGTGGAGAGGCAGGGGAGAGGTGGTGTCCCTAGGAGAGTGCTGTCATTGTGGGCAGAGGAGTAAGGATCACGCCAGTTGGGCCAGGTTTTTAAGAAATCTACCAGCAAAGTCTGTATTTGCTTTTACCAGCAATAGAGTCTAAACTCTAAGTTCTGGGGGGGATGAAGGAAAAACATAAAAAA